GATATGCAGATGATGTGGTTGTCTGGAGAGAAGGGTGAGGCGTGTCCTTTCTCCTGAATATTTATTGAACTAAATGTCATTAACACTCTGTACACGTATGCAGGGTAATGCAATACAAATATTTTACTTTATATTCAAAAACACACATGCCAAACACTTAGATGTGCAATGTCAAAAAGTATCTTAATAAAGTGTCGGCGAGACATTTTTGCAACCATCTTCAACCATCCTCAAATATGCAATTTTAAACAACTGACATAGATTATTTTGTGCATTTTGACTTTTTTCCTTTCTCATTAGTTACCCATAAGAATGTTATAAGGAGCACAACACCATTCCACGAGTCAGTAGACATTTTTTGTTTTCATACATTGTTAAATATTGATAAACGTCATACATAGATAAATATAATAAATTTCTTTAAAAAGTAGAAGTTTACACACTTTACTTCAAATCATTGAGGACCATAAACTGGTACTTAGTAGATTATTAGAGCATCTGACGATACAGTGGTTTTAATTTTCTCACCTCCTGGACCACAGCTCAGAACATCTGACAGCTGTATTATTAAACTTAGATTTCAGACACTTGTGCACTACAATAACCACCTAAATCACTTCCAACAGCCCCGAATATATCACAAATGCATATAAGTATGCATTTGCGATTTAGCTTTCTAGCATTGTATGTTGTTATGATATTAATTCATTTTATATTACCATCGTATTGCAAGCTCTGTAAAAATGTCTGGTATCTGTCTAAGCACAATACAAATAATAATCACAGTACGACTTATATCGGTTTTGTAAAAAAGTACTGTCCCTAACTGTTGTTTACCGTTTTCATATTTGAAACATTGCTTTCCACCCAGCCGTAAATGGTACATGCAGCTTTAAAGCAGACACGCTGCTTCTTTGCTCTTACATCTGTCCGGTCCATTATGGCATGTGGTTGGGGACAAAAGGATCCTGGCGAGTCGTGTAGGTAGAAGAGGGAAAAAACAGCGAGTGGGCAGGCAGGTAGGAGAGCCTGCTTCCCTGTGAGAGTGGATAAGCATGTGAACACTTAGTTGCCGCTCTCTCTGGGCTCTGTGTGGGCAGCTAATGAGTCTGAAAGCCTTGCCTTGGCATCTGTCAGCTGAGAACCAGAGGGAGCCCGAACGAGTGGCTGCAAGCTGAATCACTCCATTGCTCATTGATAATTGTGAGAGTGCTTTTTTATTTCTGTCAAAAGTGAGCGTGAATTCAGGTGAGGCAGGTTACAAACAAATCGCATACAAGCAACGTCCACTCTACTGTCCCAGTTTCATCATCGCGATGGAGAAAGTAAACTTTACACTGCATATGTATCAATAATGCAAAAGGGTGGAGTGGTTTTGGTATCAACGATGTTGTTGTGGGTTGAATGTTCTTCAAATAGAACAGCTAACTACAGTCACTGTGTGTGGTCCATAATATAACCATTATTATCTTAACAATATGCTCACAACCAGGTGAAGGTGATTCAGGCCTATGTTTCAAGCCTCATAATATCCTTATTTTACATAATAGAAATGGATGTTTGCTCCTCACCATTTTTTTCCTATTATTTGTGCTTCCCTTTAGAAACCTTCTGTTACTCTACTTGAGTTCAAATTATCTCTCTATCTTCTGGATACACAACTACGGTGCATTCTTCAACTTTTGGATATGGAGAAGATACAGATTTATCCAAATCTTAGTCTCTAGTACAAAGAAATACCATGAATACCATATGTCGTTTAAAATAGTTTAACCCCTCCAAAAATCTATTTAAAACACATCTGAACGTCGCCATTGTTATTTTACAGTGTTGAAGCTGCAGGAATCCTGGAGCCAAACCACTTTGTGGTGATAACATCAGCCAATCTGAGCTCCACCACTGTGTGATTCTTAGTCTGTCATGACATCCGTGTGCTCTTATAAACTTTAAACTAAGTTTTTGTTTTGTTGTACAAAGTTTGGTCATGGTCATTGCGGTGCCATTTATTTGAAAGACTGTCTCTGGTTGTCAAAAATATTTAATCTACCATAATATACCGTTTTAAAATGAAAATACGCAGGCATGCAAACGACTGGAATGTGCTGAGCAAAAGATGAACCCATTCACTGTGAAGGTGACTGCAACTTTTTAATTATCTACTGGGTGCTCATCGACTGAACAAACTTGCTAAAGTTTGATACTGATTAGAAATGCTATTATAGCCATGTCATGATACATTTTGGCAGGCGTGTTTGTAATCCACCTCCCACATGCCTTGAATATGAATGGAGTACTTTGTGGTAAGTGCTGAATGCTGTTGTTTGGTTGTGGAGGGACAGGAAACATTGATCGTTGGATAAAAGATGCTCTCCTCCTCACACAGATGGTTGAGCAGTCTGCTGTGAACCGACACTGCCGCCTCCTCAGTGACCACTCAGGCCCAGAGTCTTATTCGGAGGTGATTGCTAGGGTCACTCACTTCATATCATGTGACACCATACGCAGAAACAGTCATACATAAGTTATTTGGACACTTATTGAAGTGGAAAAATGCAATAAAACAAGACTTGAGAGATTTTGAGGGAATCCATTTATATTTGCTGTCAGAAATGAAAAGGATTGTGCCCAGACTGATATAAGATAAGATGTACTTTATTAATCTCACACAGGAGAAATTTACATATTACTGGTCCAGGCCAAATATTCTATTTTTTTTGTACAAGTGAACAAAAAATGTTATTCTTTCTATAAGTGAAGAATTGTGGACAAACAAGTAGTAGTAGTAATCTTTATTGTCACAGGAGGCACATGCCAGATCTATTGTGCATGTTTTTAGTGGTAGGTGAAACATGCAAACTCCACTCAGAAAGGCCCTGGTCCAACCGGGATTCGAACCCAGGACCTTCTTGCTGAGAGGCGAGAGTACTATCCACTCAGCCACCTTGCCGCAAGCGGACAGGTTCATCTTCATGTCTAATCTCTCTCTGGAGAATTGAGAATAGCTTTGGGAAATACTTTTGGTGCACCACCTTATTCTGAGCCATGGATACACTATGCATTATTTATAGCTGTATGCTTAAATATTGGTCTACTGTAACATTGGTGATTCTTCTCTTTTCTTTCTTTGTAAAACATTGAGACATGGTCTATTCTATCAGGAGCTATTTTGTCTGTTTCCCTGTGTCTTCCTCCGCCATTGATGACTTTGGATGCAAAGGCTTTTCCAGGCTCAGGTCATTGTACTGGCTTTCATGTCTACAATAGCCACGAGCTCCCTGCTGCTGCCACTTGCTATTCAGTACTCTGCCCCACTTCACTCCTTTCAAAAGCCCAAATCGGACATCTTTTGTGAGCTCTATGTAACAGAGATGGACAAGGAATGGCATAAAATGAAACTCTATCTCTCAGCCGTTGCTCTTCCTGGAGGTGAAGACAAAGAAAGTTGTGCAAGTCAACACTCACCTTGGCGTTAACCTGTAATAACAAATACCTCTACGATGAGTCTTCTTCAAAGGGCCTGGTGCACTCACAGCTCCTCTGCCCAGACTTGCTCAAAGCTGGGATCAGGCAGTGATGGGCGCAGCAATGTGGAGCTTAACATTCAACCACTGACTGCTAATCTAAATTTGAATCTCTTATTAATAGTATTGATAAACATAATAATTTAAGTGCCAGCTTTAAATAGCCCAAATGCAGACTTTGATGCTGTCTGTGTTGTGTCTGGAAGTTATGATTTGCTGTATGAATTTATTTCCAAATGAGTTTGCAATACTCCTTCCCAATATGCTGATTTCATAGCTGCAGGTGTCAACAACAACAAAAACAAAGTTTTTGTTGTTGTTGAATTCCATTTAAAGTGAATTAATCTAATCTAAAGCTTAGCAACTTTGTAAAAATTGTATAAATGAGAGCGTGGAGTCAATTGATAATAATACAAAAATACATCTAAAACAACACCATTTTTCAATAATCAATCAAATGTGGGACACTTAATGATCAAACCCCGTTCCTTACTGTCTGAACGCTTTTATTAAAGGAATAGTTCACCGTTTTTACATACTGACATATGTTCTTACCTTACCTTAGACTAGTTAATACGTATCTGTCTGGTCTTAGTCCGTGCGCTCTGTCATGCAAACGGAGCAAAAACGGGAGCACAAATGCAGCCTCCTCTGTATATTTTGTAGCACCAAAAGGTAGCTCCCGCTAGAAGCTACCAAACTCTTCCAAGTGTTCCCTATTAAATGTATATAGTTACGTGACGTGTTACACTGCAAAGTATAGTAACACAGAAATGTAACAGTCAATTTTCTCAGCGGATAAAACGGGTACTCTCTCGCTCACTTCCGTCAATAGAAGCAGCGTGACTTGTAGTACGGAGAGAAGTTAGTGCGCGGACGTAGCGCTCCTCAGATTACTACGCCTCACAATATAGTACCCGTTTTATCCGCTGAGAAAATCGACTGTTACATTTCTGTGTTACTATACTTTGCAGTGTAACACGTCACGTAACTATATACATTTAATAGGGAACACTTGGAAGAGTTTGGTAGCTTCTAGCGGGAGCTACCTTTTGGTGCTACAAAATATACAGAGGAGGCTGCATTTGTGCTCCCGTTTTTGCTCCGTTTGCATGACAGAGCACACGGACTAAGACCAGACAGATACGTATTAACTAGTCTAAGGTAAGGTAAGAACATATGTCAGTATGTAAAAACGGTGAACTATTCCTTTAAAAACCCCAGTTTGTTTGGGATTCGTCACAAAAACAGATACAATACAAAAGTGAAAAAGAAATGACCACTCTTGTTCAGCCAATCTCAGATAAACGCGCCAAAAATGTAATTCACTTTTTTTTTGTAAACAAGATTGCAATAAATATTGTGTTTTCTATGTTTTCTATGTTTTCTAATAAGGCAATATAGTCTGTTTTGTTCACAATGTTGGGACAAAAAACCCTTAAGATTGATGAAGAAAAAAGTTAGGTCCCCCTGCCCGGATTAAATCCTCCACTGCGTCGCTTGGACCCGCACAGATCTACCGGTTGTGTGACTCATGACTTCCACAGATTTGTGCGCCGCAGAGATGCTCCTGCGGGCGCTCGTCTGCTTTCCTCCGAGCACAGAACAGGTCCATGCCGTCTGCGTGGGTGCTGTACGTGCTGCTATGTCATTATTTCGCTCCCAGTCAGCGCAGGAATCGCCGCTGGCCCCTCGTGCAGACTGATCTGGGGCCGTGACGTCACCGCTCTCAGGTTTCAGGCTGTAGTCGCGGTGGCGCACGCTGTAGTCGCGCAGAGCAGCTCCCGTCCTGAACGCGGCGCATCCACACGCCACCGGGAAAAGTGCCGACAAACTATTAACTATACACTCGATTTCCACTCTACTCCCTTTGGATAAAACGCATAATTCATTTGGATCCGTGTCTGGCTTCACAAGCAGGATCTTTTTTGATTATTTTTTTTAATCGTGGCTGTGGAGGTAAGTCGCGCTTTTTTTACGCAGTGATCTTATGCAGTGCTCAAGAGGCTTCACACGCTGATAACTGGGATGCATTAGCGTGTGGGTGTGTAAAAGGGCTTTAACAGTGGTGTTAATGCCACAACAAGCTACTTACGTTTATGAGGAGCAGACAGCTTTCATTAAGAGAGGCTCAGACAGCGAGTTGTCCATCACGTACAGTAAATGCGGTAAACATATGCCACCAGGTACATACACACACGCGCACACACGCACACACCATAGTGCGCTCTTGCTGTTTAACTTATCCATTACTATGTTTTGGAAGGCGTTTGGAATTCAAGATTGTCATTTGGATTGAGTTTTAAGTGCTGGAGATAATGTTTTCTCTATATATTTGTCCATGCTGTTTACAAGCGGATTTAAATACAATGCTATGTTTATCAGAACATTTCCTATTATAATGGCTTATCACTGCGCCTAAGCAAACTTAAAGTCCTAAGCTTTTCTTAACTGGGACGTGGTGCCAGATGAGACTTGGGGCTAAATCACATTCATTCAGACATAATTACAGTCCACGGGCCTGGGCTTCTGTCTTGTTCATTGCCAAATTATACCACCAAAAATATTGACACATAGGCAAGATTTATTACATGTGCGAGTTTGTACAGTTTTTATTTCCAGCTCTATTTGAATTCTTTGAAGCTTAGGAAGTGGTCCGACCAGTTTTTTATGGCCACAAAGGACGTGTCTTAAGGCGTGAATTATTTAGACATGCCATAGAGGCTATAGTGCAACAGATTTTATGTTTTCACTAAGGCTTTCGAGCCACATCCGGCCCAAGTTATATCAAACAAAATTAAATGTACTATATCATCATCATTTACAACTGGTTCTTCACACTCAACTAGTGTGGCAATGGCTGCAGTAAATATGAGCTCTAGACTTGTGATAACGTGCCTATGTATGCAATTGTAAAGGGGGTATGTTGTCTTATCTTATTGGTACTGTATTATCTACTATAGGTCTGAATACTACTATTTGCAGAACAACCTAGCATATCATGAGCAGGTGACGCGGTGGCCACAACAAAATCTTTTTTTGCTGTCAATGTAAGTAATGCTTGATGTAGGAGAAAAGCTGAAAATATTATTAGACGTTATTTATAGTCTTTATTAGACTATAGACTAGATAAAGTAGTCGTAGTGATTTAACCATTTAAATATTCACTACTTTTCTGGTCGAGGTTGGTCACTTGGAGAAGATAGTGTTGCTTTTAGCAGTGTTCTTGTAATACATGAGTCAGAAAGATGATGCTGATAGATTTCCTGTAGGCTGAGTGTCATACCTACATGTTTGTCTTTAAGGAGATGGCCTTGATTATACATGGATGTTTTCAGCATTGGTTACACTTGTCCGTAAACCTTCATACAGTACTTCCATACAGTTTCCTGTCATTCCTTCATCATGCACTTCTTAGGAATTGAAATTAGAAGCCCGAAAGGGGAAGCTTGAGAAATACTGAAAGTGACATAAGATGACATGGGATGTGAGTTTCCACAAACAAACAAAAAAGGAACTGAGTGACACCATTTCTGTCAAAAGTTCATATTTTCACTGCAACAGTCTGAATATATGTTTGTTTTCCAGTGTGTTCCTCCTCAAGGCTCAGAAATGGTTGCTAAATCAGTCAGCGCGTCACCTTGACACAGTTTGCACCATGTCGCAGCTGCAGAGTTGAGGCTGCTAATTGAATTGTTTGTGAAAAATCTGATTTGTGGCCTGAAAGAGCAGCTGCTTTTCACGCTTAAGTAAAAGTGAAAGTCAAACCCAAGCACAGATCTACAGTGTATATTGGCTACTGCGCTTTTTGAAGTCTACTCGTAAAAATGGTTTTAGCTTTTTGATTGCCATGAGATTTGTCATGTGGCTCAAGGGAATAGGGAGTTGGTCCTCAACATTGCACTTGTTTGTGTTGTAAAACTTGTTTAAAGCTGGGGAACCTAACTTTAAAAATAAACTATGAAAGATACATACAACTATATTTCCAAAGCGAGTTGGTTCCATCACTAGTTTTCACATACATGTATACTGTCACATCTTTACATCAGCTTTCACAAAAGTACGATCACAAAATCGTACAAACTATCCAGGGTGATTACTCCCTACTCTGCAGACTGTGTTAATGATGGTCTGCTCTCTGACAGCACATGGCTTAACTTCAAACTTCTGTAGTTCTTTTCACGTGGGATAGCTCACGCCCACAGTTTTTTGTCTGTTTTTTTGTCCATGCTGCTGCTGCTGCTCCCCCCCCCATGCCCCCTTTGCACTCCCCCCGTAGTACACACCACCGCCAATTCTGCTTATTCAGCTCAGCCTTTGTGCACACGGCTATTCACAACCCCCGACCACCGTCCACCCCAGCACCGCTGTCCTGGACGTCCACCAGCATTGCTCTGGTCCCTGGGCCTCACCTGATAATGTGGCCCCATCCAGCCTAACTCAATGGTCTTTTCTTCGCCAGCCAGGTCCCTCCTTGTGTAATAGGATTAGATTTATGAGCACTGACAAGAGTATTAATAATCACGAAAAGCCAGGATAATTGGAGCACACTTGGTTTTAGGACCTTGCTGTAGGCAGGTAGCAGCGGTGAGGTGAGATTTAGACATACTAAGAAAACCTAACTTTCAAACCACAAAGGTTCTTAAAGGGGATTTATACGGTCAAATGTTTGTAAGACTGTCTGGTGGAGTATTTGTACTTTTCCTTTTACTATTTTTGAAAAAAAGTTGGGTACCGCACCTTTTAGAGAGATGCAAATACAATATATGGACATCACAATTAAATTATAATTCATCTGTTGGTATGTGGAAATTGTGCAAAACAAATCTACTAAATATTAAGAAGGAAAAATCAATACATTAAATAATACATAGAATGAAACACTTTGTACATAGGTGTCGTACTTAGCCACTGGGACATGTTACAGACTATTTGACCTCAAAAGTCAAGGGTCTCAGACAGTTAGGACCGGCTTAGTGAAACTCGAGGGGAATGTGTTTCGTGACGTCTCCTCGAAACTTACAAGTCTAACCCTTCCACCTGTACGCCACAAATTATACAGCAATCCTCCTCAGCTATCAGGGGCATGCTATCAGTCTATCCTGTGACATATAGCATAGCAGATCATATTATTGAAAGCGTTTTGTGCTCACATATGGTCTGCGCAAATGGAAACAGATATCTGGTGACGAGAACTCCAGAAGGAAAGCCTTAAACTTTTTATTTTCAATTCCACCAATTAGATAGTACTGTGAAATTGTTATAGACCCCTTCTTACTCCAAATCCGCCTAATTTCCTATTCAAATACTGCTGAATGTGCTGGTTTTGGCTTGCACCCAACTGACATATTTCAGTAGCAGGACCTGTCAGGACACTTGCTCCCCTTTTTTCGCGCTTCATTCCTGGCTAACGCAAAGAACACTTGTGGGAATAGCCTTCAGTTGTTTTTGGTTCAACTGTAGCCGGTGCAGGGGGCGGGAGCAAAGTCCCACCCAGGACAATAAAACGCTAAGCCTGAGGAGCGTTGACCCCACACACTCTAAGCTCTTTATTACTGTGGTGGAGGAGCTCAGCTAATTATTTTCGTTAAGAAAGTCCAGAGACCAGAGACATAACCAGGACTGGCTCCTGAACGCAGCAGGGTGGTTGGTGGCTAGTCCCCCTTATCTTTCCCTATTTGAGGTAAAGAGGTACACCAAACAGCCACACCTTTAGGCAAACTTAAAGATATTTAAAAAGAGCTGAAATGTAGTACTATGTTTTCAACCCCCGCGCAAGTCAAAATGTTACCATATGCTTTACAGGCCAGTGACGGCTGCTGGGACTGACCACAGACCACAGACCTTGGTCTTGCATTGGCAGCTTGGTCTATGCTACATTTGGGAAACATACTTTATATAAGAATGATTTAAATTAAGAAATGATGTGAGGTATACTTTTGTAGCTTTATAGCTTACGACAATGTTTGAAAGTGAAAGAATATTAAGCAGCCTTTGGGTCAAAGAAAAAAAAGGACTAAAAGGATAATGTCATGAAAATACTAAAGCAATAACGATATTAAATAGTAGGGACGAATGAGCCTTTATTCTACAACTGTGCCTGAGGGCAGCTGAATAATCTTTCCTTAACTTTTCTTAACTGTCAATATTCAGACTTCTATTCTTTGTTTGGCGATAAGTTATCTGTAATTCCTGGACCACTCCACATGAAACAACAATCTTCTTTGTAAGTACATATCAGCTACGGTCAAATTATTTAAGTGCTGACAATATGAACTAACATATGCGTGATGTTGACGAGTAGAAAGGACTAACATTTGTGGATATTTATCAACATTTATGGACATTTGTCATCTGCCCCTTATGGACCAATGTCAATGTGTTTTCTGTTATATTTCTTGTGTTTGAACTGTTTGATTCTCTGATCTGTGTTCGAGTCCTTCGAGATTACGACTGTTGTGATTTCAGAATAAATTGAATTGAAATGAACTTTGAGACATAATATGGCGGGTTTGTGAATCTTAAGTATCTGGGACAACATTTGGACACTATATTTTTTTGCTTGGAGTTTGATAATTTTAACTTAAAGCCGGTATGTATTGTATAGTTAATATTTTAGGTCAATATTTTTCTTACATTTCCATAGAACACCGATGTTTCACTGTGCCCATTCTCTGCCTCAAACCAATTTCCATCTGAAGTTTATAAAAAGACTTTGCTGATGGTGATGGTTCCAGTGTGGTCCATGGGCTGTTTCTGACCACGGACCACGCCTATGTTACTTTACTCACTCCATGTTTACCGCGCGACGATGCTAAGAACGGACTGTCCCGACGAGTCACATCATCGCGTTTGGAATGTTACTGAGCCTCTCTAATGGATTCCGTCCATATTCAGTTTCCACAGCAACGCTTTGATGTCCTCCTTGTCAGTCACAGTGGTCGTTTGTCTTTCTATTTTGCAGCAGTGACAGGACGCACGTGTCCCTCTGAACATCTGTTAAAACGTACAAGTGCCCCCTGTTAAATTTAGACGAGGGCAATGGCTTTGGGAGGTTGGTTTAATAAGTGCACATTCTACAGTCTGAAGATGGCAATGATTAAATGGACTGATACTTGATCATACGCTATACAATAGGATGCACTTAATACCAATTCAATTTTTATATGATGATTGAAAAGATAAAAAGGAGAGCAAACCCGTGTCAATTATTATCTCATTCTGTGGCCATAATTTGCAGATGCACGCCGCTCACTCTATCAAAACATTTTGTAAACAGTTTTAGATCAACAGTATTTCTAATTATTAGTCACAATGGGGCAAGATATCTTTCTTCTGCTCAAGTTGATTATTTGTAAAGAAAGTATATTCAGACTGGTTGAAACTATGCCAAATACTCCTTGTATGCACTTGTATGTATGTGTATATACTGAATGCGTTAGTGAACAACAAAAGAATGTTATTGTAATTGTACATTCATGAAGAAATGTAAATGTAAATATGGTAAACTTCTCATTAATGTAATTTCTGCACCAGTGAATGAATTAATAAATCAACATTGTCACAACAAGATTGTCACAGTGTTTAACCCCTTTTTGTCAAGCCATGAGAAAAAAATGTCTCGGTACACTGGGTAGTAACATTCAATGCTAAACCGAATGAAAATTGAGACATTGACAGAACTGATTTACAATTAAATTAAATTAAATTTAATATTGTCAGTCAATTCAGAAAGCTTGACATATTTCATTCTTAAGAATCCATAGACCGTATATATTTGGAGTTGACTGACCCAGTGCTGACATCACTGAATGCAGAAGAAGCTGATTTGAACATAAGCTAGCTGGAGCCAATTTCCTTATATGGGCATTTGGTCCTACTGTGTTAGTTTCACACAGTAGGACCAGACATGTTGCTAAGATAGTTACTAAGGCAAGCTGGAGTTTCCCTTGAGAATGAGGCATTGTGAATGCTTATAGCTCATATCTGGATTTACGCTGACAATATCAAAATATAAACATCATAATGACAGAGAGCGCAAAACTTTTTTTTTTATGCCCAAAATGAGTGTGACACCATTGTCCGTGAGCACTTCCCTGTGGGCTTCATTGTGCTAGTCGGTTAGCATTTTCCATCTGTATACAGACTATGGATTAATCTATACACAATTACAGTGTCACTTCCTGAAATTATGATATCTTCTTTTCTTTTTTTGTTGCTGTACCTGTATACGTATTTCTGAAGCCAACGTGGTAAACATTTCAGCTTTCTATCATCTGGTCCCAATCTTGTCTCCTGACTTCTGGTCTCCTGACTGGTCTTGTCATAAGTAATTGCCAACAACTAGCAAAAATATAAGCCTTACATCAATAGATCCACAAAACTGTTTCCTATTGCGTCTCCTATCAGTAAGTATGAGTATAGCACGGCACGGTTAGCTTCTCTTAATGAATAGTTTGTTGTTGACCTGATCTTAGACATGTTTACTCTGGCTCGGTGCCATGTTTTATTGCTTGTGGCCTATTATGGTTTCCTCCCTGATGCGTCTCATCATGATTTGACTGATGATTTAATGAAGTTTGACATTGAGTTCCTATTGGATTAAGGAGATCAAGTTGACTGTTTGTGTATGTGAAGATTTAGTTCTGAAACGGTCAAGAACAACTCAACTCATACTTATCGATACAGTAAATATTGATGACATGACTGAGGCTGTGGTAACAATGGAGAAATAGTAACACATTTAGTAGTTAATAAAGTTACATGCATTACTAGAGAATGTGACCATTTCTAGAATAGATATATGATTCTGTTCACGTCTTTTCTTGCAGTTAATCCGCTAAGACTTTCTTAGCAAAACAGGACTTAAATCTTTAAAAAACGGAATCCTGTTTAAACTCGTGTGCAGCCTGCAGTGTGGATATGCGTGGACTGTATTCTAAACTAAATCGGTGCCACTGGTCTGCTGAATGAAGACCGCACCAAGCTCTGCTCAGCCAACAGTGGCTCAGTAATTATAGACCAGAGCTGTGGTGAGTTGAAACCAAACCCACCATTTCGTTTCTGGTATTTGCTCCTTTCAGTAAAACGCTGTTATTTTTGGTCGACTCGTGTGCGTTTGTAGTGCAGCTGGAGGGACGTCCAGTGAATAAAAGCAGTGGTCGTTGCCTGAGGATGTTGTGAAAACTGCAAATGTTGAATGCATTGTCTTCCCTAATATGCAGCAGGAGAACATAAGAAATTATTCATTTCATCGGACATGTTTTTAACAGTATGCAGGCAAAAGAATGGTGACTAATAGTGACAATTTGGCAAACAGTTAAGATCAAAGGCGTTCGTATACTGCTCCATTGGGCCCGGTTTTGTGTCATTGTACTAAAGACGTAATACAGCTGATTGTGGTAGTCCCATTTTTACCCACAATGTGAAATACAATAATATTCCTATGAATGGAATACATTTATTTCGGCGATAGGATGTAAAATAATGGCTACACTGCACTATTGATAGTTCGCCCATCCCTATTAATTCATACATATCTTTAATTAGATAAGCACCAATACAATATTGGCATTGGACATCGGCGCCGATATTTGAAGTGTTGTTGGATTGGCATCAAGATATCGGTTCAATCGATACCTTTATTTTGATATAATTAGTCTGTTTACTGATTGGTATTAGTCCAGAATAGTAGGTTTTGAAATATGCTATGCAGTAATAAATATATATAGCTTGAATGTTCTGTTTTACTTGAGTGTTCTTCCACAACACTTAATCTACGAGTGACATGCAACCCATTGATTTGTATTGGACTGTGGGAAAGGGATGGCGTTGAACTGCCTGCATCGCCATTATCTGATGATACTGAACAAACAAAATTATAATTGGCTATTAACCATGGCCATTACTGTTAATCATTTTTGCCTTGGAGTTTATTGAACCTCTGGGCTGTTCAGATTATAAACATTGTGGTCAATGTGTGCTCTCTGCTGTAAAAGGCTGCCGTAGCATGCTCCTGTTTCTGAGATTGTGTTAATTATGAAGGCTGGAAGGAGCTGTGGGCCTCTCAAATTGGACTGCTCTGCTCGGGTGGCATTGTTTGTTACCACTTATTCTATGAAATGTAATATAGTTTGACTCCAGTGAGTTTGTAGTAGGCTTGATTGAAGCCTAATAATGAAAGAAACCATGATTTGGGAAGAAACATGTTAAAAAGTCAATTAAGATGATTGAAAGTGTTTCATTAATTATTCACATTTCTGATTTTAGATTTTTGTTTTTTGTCTCTCCATATTATTAAGAGACAGCTTTCATCTGGAATTTGGAAAAGGTTTCAAATAAATACACTTTATTTTCTACGACTACAGTCTTTTTCTTTCTTTTGTCATTGGGCTTGCATCTCCACAAAGCTGACACATATTTGAGTTAGGTTTGTGGACCTCATACTTTCTTCCATGAAGTTTCCTTTGTTTACATAAGCTACTATCTTCTACAGTATCACTTACACTTTTCTATTACAATCACGTTGGAGAATGTGCTGAAATATGTTATTTTAATTATGGCTTTAGATTTCCATTGAATCACTCAGGAGTTGCGCCAACTCCAAAAAAAGCATTGCTGTCGCTTCAAAGAATCATTATTGTCTGACAGTTGCTTCAGCCTCTGTTTAATATGGCTTTATACAGACTGGGAATGGAATGTTACACTCTAAAACCTATCCATCTTCCTATTTATTTATTGACTTGTTTTCCTTGTGAGCATGAGCCTCCATGTGATTGATAAGTTTAGTGTCGCACTGACTGTAGAGCTTTTCAGATTGAGTCATCTTTACAGAATCACTTTGTGGAGCAACCTCCTCCAGAAAAGTATCATGTGCACTTTTAATTTACACAAATACAAATCAATATTAACTCCTCTCTTGTCTCTTTCTCGTCTTTAGTCACAATGAGCGGAAGGTGACCTGCAAGCATCCTGTCTCCGCCGTCCCCTCTCAAGACAACTGCATCTTTGTCGTCAACGAACAGTACGTCTCTGTTACACTTTTAGAATGCCACTGGTTGACATTTTCTATCGTCTGGTTTGTCGTTGTGGAGTAACTATTGCATAATCCCATGTCCAGTCCCGCAAGTTGCACTACGACCACTTTTATTGCTCCACATGGACTTGTACAGTAAGTCTGAATACTCCCTGATGCTTCAATTGTCCGTATTTTGGAATCAGTTTGACAAATTGTGCACATACCAAAGTTGACAAAGAGCAAAGCCTCGCACTAAACCCATCATTGTCTCTTGTACACTTCAGCTCGTGGGAATGCGATGATTCATGGATGTGTCTGTTTTGTGACCTTCAGTGAGGTTCAGCGCCTGTCGGTTTGCCATAAACACATAGAAAGTATATGTCAAGAGCCCGTACCTAACAAGTCCTCCTGGCCCATGTGACCCGATGTGGTGTGGCCCTCACATGTTCTCCCACATGACCCAGAGGAGCGCGGCTTCACTTGGGCTGCAGCACACGTCAGATAGACTTATGTGCAATAAACAGGGTGTCACTATCACTCTGTCAACCAGGGCTGCAGCACTTTACACTCTGGAGAATACTGTATGACCCAATCACTGTATACACTTCTTATGTGCAAGCTTAGGTGCAAGTGATATATACATGTTTATCATAGTAGATTAAATATGATTATAGACTAGATTAGATTAAAAAGTATTGTTATTAGGATGGCCAAACTGTGGAACCCACTGCCCACTGACCTGAAAAGTATTTCAGAGTTTAAGTTTACATCAAAGATCAAGGTGTGGCTTGAAACAAACCAAAGAAGTTTCATTTCAGTTCAGTTTATCAATTTATTTCAGACAATTTTGACATTTCAAAAACAATTTCAGGGACTTTCAGGGTCAAAATAAGGTCTGAAAAAGGAATAGGCAGAAGATAAAGCTTACTGACGCCATACCCTTTAGAATACATTAAACTTAAATAGCTGCTACACACAAATGAAAATAATGCTCCAATACGCCATAATTATGATTATTTTCTGCCCAGCTTCACAATCAGTATATGTTTGAATAATATTCTTCTTATGCAGTCTTGAAGTGTCGTATACTTCTGCAGTCTTTTTACTCTACGGCCATATCATTCCAGATGTTTACTCCAACCCAGGGCTGGACTGGGACAAAAAAACGGCCCGGGCATTTTTTCCTTCTTACCGGCCCAGGCATGTTTTTGTCACTTTTTTACAGTTTGTTTATACCAGGGATCGGCAACTCAAAAGGTTCAAAGAGCCATATTTGACAAAAAAACTAAAAACATCTGTCTGGAGCGGCAAAAAAATAACAGCCTTGTATAAAGCTTATATGAAGGTTACACAATGTACCTACATTAGCTACATTAGCCTAATATCTAAATGACCAAGTAAAGGCTACAAATACATTATTAGCATTCATGATTATCAAATGTGTGTTTTCACTGCAGCGTGTCCTGGAGAGAATGACGCACCACGTGATGACTCTGCTTTAACTTTGACTTCCATTTTTTTTGCCTTCATGCAACTGTAGAAATACAGTAAATAAATCTGCTTTTCGGCTCAAAGGTCACACACCTGCACTGTCCGCTCATTTCGATCACGTCACAGGCTGAAGTTTGCTGAAGCTGAATGTCCTGAATGTCCTTTTCTTTCACAGTCTTTGCGGAGGTTTTTGAAGTCTGAAAAAGGTGCTCCGGATTTTGTATGAAAGAATCCTTCACGTAATCCCTGTGAACGGTATTTAGTGCTTCATTGTTCCTCGTGTTGCAACAAAACTTCCTATTACATCGCAAACATGGAGCAGTCTTTCCTCATTGACTAAAAGCAAATGTTCTGTCTTGTTCTTAGTCCAGTCTTATTATCGACTCTTTCTCTTTTTATCTTTGGGATCCGTGCGCACACGCCGGTTTGTTCACAGCAGCGGCCGCTGCTGTGGTCACGTTGCGGCTACGCGCTCACCGTGTTGTGTTGTGAGCGGTTCCCGGTGAGCGGTTCCTGCGTCCAGCTCAGAGCTGCTGGATGCGGGAACACTGCGGCCGCTGAGGTGGTGGAATCCCGTTCGAGTACATACAGCAGGTGCCCCGCGGACACTCGCGCCCCCTCAAACAGTTCTCAACGGATTTACACTTTTCACAAACATTTTTTTTGTATGAGGCAAACAGACCGGCCCAAATATGGGCATCGGCCCTTCGGGCATTGCCCGGTACGCCCGATGGCCAGTCCAGCCCTGCTCCAACCTCAGAAACACAATGCATTTTTTTTACATTTGTACCCATCTCTGAATCTGTAAATAATGTATTGTGTGTGTGTGTGCTGTCTGTGTATCTTTATTGGGGAGAATTTCTTACTGTTAGATCACAGCTATAAATATGTGTTTTAGGGCTACTATTTTATTCATTCTGTATAATGTGTTGCATTGTAGGAAAAATCTCACAGGGACTGGAGTGGAAAATTTGCCTTAGAAACACACTCTGTATGTGTCGCATCAGTTGCATCTTTCATGCTGTAACTATGTATGACTACGTTTTATCATGTACAGCGCCCCCTTAGTTATATATATTCATACATTTAGTTCAGGGTTTGAGTGAGTCACTAAATGTAGAATGAGTATTCTGAAGAAATGTATAAATGCTATGGATGCACAATTTATCACAATCTAGTGGTCACAATTAGAAGGTTCTTTGCAAACAAAAGTAGAAGCAAAACACTTACTGTACATTTGAAAACACTTGATTTGAGTTTATTTTGAACATTTCCCAGTGGAAAACGTGGAGCCCTATTATATAGTGATTACATAGTCAATAAAACAGATAGAAGACTCAGAAAATGAGGATTTCATAGATTAGTAGATTGGAAACATACAGCTCACAATCATTGGATGAGCCTAAATAGAATCGGTTGGATAACAATGACAAAGCATCATTGAAATAAAATCAATTCCATCGTCCGCACATCATTTTTTAACCATAACAGTGCAATAGATTGTGCTGCTCTGCTGTCAACACAATTCACACCATTTACATTGCTGTCACTTCTTTACCAACAAGTGATAATTGAAATCTTGTGTGAATTTCAGCCTCTGATGCTATAATTCGATGGGAGCAGTCCAATAAACAGCTCCGTAAAGTTTCCCAATAAACACTTTAGATGGTAATCCAGTGTTTAATGTGTCGCAGAGAGGCTGTAAGCTGTAGTCAGCGTGTACTTTTGCACAGAGCAGCAGTATGCGGTGGAGATGGGGCTCTTGTGCAAGAAGAGCTGCTACACTGCACCCTCCTGACACATTCCTCCCCTCACTGTGTTACTCTCACATCTCTGTCGGATTCACACAGACACAGGCATCAAAATGACTCGCAAACATCTCTCTCATAAGACCACGGCAAATGGAATCCCTTTTTAGGAGGTAATTGTCGAGTGTCTTAAATTGAGACATTTTTGGGACGAAGAAAAAGTCCTGGGAAGAATGTGTTTGGTGTTAAATGATTCATGTCAGTTTCATTTTGAGTTATAATGACTTTTCCTTGTATAATTGTGGCAGGTTTTGATCACACATCAAACAAAACAGGAGGTTAGGGTTATGTCTTCTTGAGTATTTTTATTTTCACGAGTCTCTCTAAGACAATTTTGACATGATTTTAAGATAAGATAAGATAAGATAAGATAAACCTTTATTAGTCTCACAGTGGAGAAATTTCAGTGTCATCGTTGCACATTACAGCAGAGAAAGGAAATAAGAGCACTCAGATTGCACACATCAAAGTCTATTATTTAAGATAATAGACAATAAATGTAAGATAAAATAAAATAAAATAAAATAAGAAGCTCTGGGCTATAATTGCACTTGGTTCGGAGTATTTACAGATGTCTATATTATACATTAGCAGCGGAGAATATGAGGATATGAATATGAGCAGAATAAACATCAGAAATAATATCAACAGGTGAAGTGACTTGAATGGGAGAATTATCAGATGGATATGAATAATACAGTAAGATATCAACAGGTAAAGTGACGGTGAAAGGCAGAATTATCAGATATGAAATAATACAGTAGTACTGATAACAGTAAATATCAGATATGTAGTACTGTAGTAGTACTGATAACAGGTAAAGTGACTAGTGACAAAGTTACTAGTGAATTATCAGAAACACTTGTACAGTCTGACAGCAGCAGGAAGGAAAGACCTGCGAAACCTCTCCTTCACACATCGAGGGTGAATTAGTCTGTCACTGAAGCTGCTCTCCAGAGCAGAGAGAGTGTCCTGCAGGGGGTGACAGTCATGGTCCAGCATAGATGTTAGTTTGCTCAGGACCCTCCTGTCCCCCACCTGCTGCACTGTGTCCAAGGAACAGCCCAGGACTGAGCTGGACTTCCATGATGACCTTGTCCAGCTTCTTCCTGTCCCTCTCTGTGATACTGCTGTTCCAGCAGACCACACCGTACAAGATGGCTGATGCCACCACAGAGTCAAAGAAGGTCTTCAGGAGTGGCCCCTGCACTCCAAAAGACCTGAGCCTCCTCAGCAGGTAGAGGCGGCTCTGGCCCTTCATGAAGAGGGCGTCTGTGTTATGAGTCCAGTCCAGTTTGTGGTTCAGATGAACTCCCAGGTACTTGTAAGAGTCCACTCTTTCAATTCCCTTTCCCTGGATGTACACTGGGGCTGGAGCGGCAGAGTGACGTCTACGGAAATCCACCACCATCTCCTTGGTCTTCCCCGCGTTGATGAGGAGGTGGTTCCGCTGATGTAACTCTTCAATTATGTTTGTACAAAAGTTAAGATCAAAACAATATTGTGACATTTCAGTAACAGATCTGAGCAGATTTATTCATTTAATTGCATCGTAAACTAATATATTCATCAACTATTCATCACAATGATCATGGTGTAAAAGGCCCTGTGAGTGGGAGGGAAGTGTCAAAGACAAATAGTCTGTGTAAAAACACAGACATTTGGCTTGAGAGGTGGAGATAAACCATATATGTGATTTCACCTGAG